CAGGAATGTCACACCTCACTCCTGGGAGGTTCTGCCCAGAGAGGGCAGGATTCAGGCAGGGCAGGCCTGGTCCTGACACCATCCCAGGACCTGCCAGACCCAGGCAGGCTCTGCGGGAGCTCCTTCCCCACTCCTGTAGGCCGTGGGCCCCTGTAGGCCCCTGCTGGCCCCTGAGTGCCCCTGCTGGCCCTGCGGGCCAAGGGGTGTCCAGGCAGGCAGGGGCTCACCTCTTCTGACCCAGGTGGGAGAAGGGGCAGGGTTATCCGGCCTGAGGGAGAAAGACAGAGGTGGCTCTGAGTGCCTCGCCCCGCCCACACCCAGAACCACCCGAGAAGGGAGGAGGGAAGGTCCTGGGTCAGGTTCGATTTCTGCAGTGTTGAGTGTGGCCTGAGAGGACCCCAGCCCAGAACCATCAGGACGCAGACCAGGGCAGAGGAAAGAGGAGATGTGATGGACTGAGGAGCAGAAGGACGAGGTGGCAGAGCAGGACAGAGGGACAGCCCTCTGGGTGGGCGGTGATGGTGACAGCAGGCGGGAGGGGGGCCCCACCTCCATGGTGCCAGGCCTACCTCGCACGGACATCCTCTTGGGGAGGATAGTGACGGCCCCCTCAGCCACCTCCTCCAGGTGCAGCACTGGAGCGCTCTTGGACCCCCAGCTATCGGAGCCCATCCAGAAGAAGTGGCCGGTCTGGTTGGCCCTCCGTGCGGCCTCCAGCACACGCCTGTGGGGACACACGCCAGCCCAACCGGGCCACACCTGCGGCAGCCCACACCTCTCCCCCTTACAGCGGTGCCTGGCCCCCACCCTGCTCCACGTGAGCCAGGCCCCAGGCCCCCGGTTCCCCCTGCCCCGGCCCACACCTGCCCACAGCCCCATGGCTGCCCCTGTCACCTGTCCTCCAGCCCATGCCCCAGCACCTGCACCTGCCCACGGGCCCAGTGTGCTTCCCCAGGCCCACATCTGTCCCCGCAAGAACCACAGCTGCCTCGCGTAGTCAACACCTCCCTGGCCCTCCACCACACCCCACCCCCCAGCCCTCCTCAGGTACATCCATTGTCACCGCGGCGCCCTCGCCATCTACCCGCTTCTGCGCCAAAGTCTGGGTCTCTCAAAGAGCTGCTAGCACACCCTCTGAACTGCTGTGACAGGGGTGTCATCAAGTCCAGCCCGAGAACCCAGCACAGGCCCCGGAGCTGGAGGCGCTCAGTCGGTGCTCACTGGGCGCACGAACTAAGTGTCCCCTGGAAGACAGCTCCTTGGACGGGAAAGAGGGAGGAAGGTGCAGGGCGCCCCCAGCCAGCCTCCTGTCACCGGGAGAGCCTGGTGCAGAGAAGGGGCAAGCCACTTGCTCAGTCACAGCGAGTGGCGCCCTGCTGTAAACTGTTGGGGCCCCTCTACCGTGAGGCTCCAGGCCTGGCAGTTGGGGAGATGTGGCTGGGCCTGCTCAGGAGGCAGCCAGCCGAGCAGGAGGGAGGAGGGCTGGGCCTCCCAGAGAGAAGCAAGTGTTCCAGGCCCGAGAGCCCAAGCGGGGCTGGGCCAGCCTGGGCTGACCGGCTCTCGCTCCCCGACGCCTCCGCCATCATTCGGACTCCAGCCCCTCTCACGAGTGCAGCCCCCTCAGGTCACCACTAGGTGGGCGCTCTCACGCCCTAGCACACCCACCTGCATCGGGCCTGCCCGAGGTGACCAAACTCCCAAGCCTCGACCCGCAGTCACCTGGGTTGGTTTCTGCAGCTGTTTGCTTTTGCTGGGACATGTGGAGTTCCAGAAATGACGCCTGCCTCCCACCCCCCTTCCTGCACCCCAAGCAGGGAGCCTTCCGAGGCCCGGGCTCCTCCTCCCCCAGACCCTGCTCTGCCCATGCACAGCCCTGCCCTCCGGGAGGCAGGCGTCACTAGCGCGTGTGTTTTTCATCAACAAAGAGGCCCAGCGAGGCCAAGAGACTCACTCATGGTCACACAGCTAAGTGGCAGGAGAACAGGTCCCAACTCAGGTGGCCTGACCCCAAGTCCTGGGCCTTGGCCCCTCCATGAAAGCACCCTGCTCGCCATACCTGGCAGGTGGAATGGGTGCCTCCTCCGACCCCTGAGAGGTCTCCACACCCCTCTCTGGACCCCAGGAGTCAGGCTTGCCTAGGAAGATCTGGGCAAGATGAGCCCGCGGCTGCCCCACACCGCGGCCCTCACCTGATGTCGTCCTCGTTGGCGAAGATGATGACCGCCCTGGCGTTGGAGGTCTCCAGCAGGCGCCGGATGATCTTGTCGAACTCTCCCATCTTGGGCTCCCGAGGGATCTTCACCGACTGAGCGATGCACACGCCCCCTGCAGGAGGGCACCCGTCAGCCTCGGTCTCCCCCAGTCTGCTCCCCAGTCCCGGGACACAGGCTGCAGTCCAAACAGCCACAGCATGGGCCCTGGCCCCACTCACCAGCTGGGGGCCTGGCTATGTCACTTAAGTACTCTATGCCTCAGTCTCCCCTAAGAGCAGCTAGGGGCAGCAAAAGGCACGAGGCAGCACAGCATCATGCTTCAGAGCCAGACTGCCTAGGTTCAAGTCTTGGCTCTGCCACTTTCTGCTGTGTGACCTCAGGCCAGGTACTGAACTTCTCTGTACCTCAAATACATCACCTATAAAGTGAAGATAATAAGAATGCCTACTTCATAGGATTGTTATGCAAATAAGTGAGTTAATGCATATAAACTCAATAATGTCTGGTGCCTAGAAAGTGCTGGGTGCATGCTAGTTATTTGTATTGTAACCAGGCTGTATGCTGCAGAAGAGGGCCTGCAGGATAAAGTCTGAGAATGAGAGCCCACCCTGGCCCCGGGGTCCCCCACGTCCACACCCCTCCCAGAGCTCCTGTGCCCATCAGCAGGCCCTCAGAGCAGCGGGCATGGCTGCCGCCTGGTGCCCACACGTCCTGGGCAGCAACTCTGCAAAGCAGGCTGTAGTTAACATCCGGGTCTTTCCACGTTCCTTCCTGGGCACTCACTCGCAGGCCCCTCAGTGTGGGACTCTCCAGCTCCCACCATCCGCCTTCACCCACCCCTAGTGGCTGACCAGGGTAGGGCCACCCACTGGCAGGAGCCCCCACCCCCAACGGTGCTTATGTTCAGATCCCAGCAGGGACCTGGGAAGGGCAATTACAGCAGGAGTGCTTCCAGGGAGAGATCAGAGGTTTGAGGGTGCCTTGGGGAGTGCTCCTAGCACCCCTCAGCAACTGCCTCGCTAGCTGGGTCCTGGGGCAAGACAGAGGCCAGGGCCTGCCTCTCCTTGTCCCCACTCCCCTCCCCTACCCCGCCCCCATAGGAAGCCCTGCAGGAGCCATCCGGGATAGAGTGACGGGTGGGGGCAGGACTGGCACCCAGCTGGGCAGCCATGGACCCTGGAGTCGTTGTTGCTCACTCTGCCAGCTCCTGGCCTTAGACGTGTCTCCTGGAGGGCTGGGGACTGGTGTCCTGTGTGAATCCCACCAGATCTCCCGGTACGAAGGCTGTGTGTCCCCCTCTGCCTCGGACAGACGACACCGCTGCAGCTCAGAGTGTGGCCTGCCTGCTGTGCACTGTGCCCCGCCTTACTGGGTCCAGGCACTGGGCCCTAAGAATAAGCCCCCGGGACCAGCAAGATGGTGTGCTGGTTACATAACTGGACTCCACATGGTCAACCATCCGAGTCCCGGACCCAAAGGCTTGAAACTCACACCAGGAGCGTATGCGTGCATGCCCGAGATCCCGAGAGGAGAATGGAGGAGAAAGGATTGTGGTGTGGCCATCCCCCCTTAGGGGTGATTTCTCGCTTTCTGTCTGTCTCTCCAGTGAACACATGCGCCCTATAGCAAAAATCTCTCTCTCAAAAAAATTAATAATCCCCCTGAGGCCCCTGGTGGCAGTCAGGATTCCGTTGATGGAAAAGCACGAAGGATTGCTCTTAGTGGAGCCAGACCCTTTATCCAACCACTGCCTTCCCCCAGGTCCCACTCCAAACAGGATCCTCTCCAGGCCCAGCCAGTGCCTCAAGCACACACCATGGCTAGCCATGCAGCTGTCACTCCTGGCCACCCCCGAGCCTCCAAATGACCTTCCCATCCAGGCTGGGGCCACCTGAGCTTCTGCACAGACTCTGTGCCCCAATCCCTTGGCACCTCCGGGGGGCGAAGGGGAGCCCCAAGGAGTTCATGGGGCACAGGACCTATCAACAAGCCCCACAGGGCTCCTGCTCCCAGCTTCACATAGAGGGGATCCTACCCTGGTCAGGGAGATGACAACCAGGGAAGGCTGCCCAGAGGTGGTGACACTGAGCTGAATCCTGAGAGGACCCAAGCAGTCAGGAAGCAGGGCATTCTGGGAGAACAATAGGTAAGCTCACTAGGGGGGCTGCCCCTTGCTGGGCCCCTGCTGGGCCCAGGGCCACACACACACACACACACACACACACACACACACACATTCCTTTGGTCTGTCCTAAGACACCCAAGAATCCTCAGTGCCAGAGAACCTGGGCCCCAAGAGCCATGGGGTGGGGAGGAAGGTAGAAGGTCCTTGGCAGGACTGGAGCCCACCCAGTCCCGGTCAGAGAGGGCCCGGGGAGGCAGCCTGCGGCCACGCACTGGCCACGTACCACGGCTGCCAGCAGGCACTCAGCTCCCGGCTAAACCCTCCATATGGTCCTTCCCAGTTAGAAAGTGGGCCAATTGCGGCACGTCCCCCATCTGGGGAGACAGATGGACCAGAGGAAGAGGCTGAGACAGGAGGGGGGCGAGCCGCCTGGCTCCAGGAGAGGAGTGGCCGCAGAGGGGAGGCGGCCGCGGGTGGGATCACCTGCTCTCCCACAGGGAGGAACTGTTGGTAAGTTACATTTCTGGGTGTGCTCTTGTCCCGGACCCTGCTGGTGAAAGGCTAGAATGCCAGCAGGTCACAGGGTGCTTGAGGTGGGAGTGCAGTGGGGGGGCCCTGGATGGGAGCGGGGACGGTTGTGCAAGGCTCGTGACACACCTGAACCCCTGGGCCGTCAGGCATGTGGCATGCCTCGGCAGGTTCACATGGATCGCTCACCTGAGGCCGGCACCATCCCCACCTCCAACCCACAGTGAGGAAACCGAGGCTCTGAAGGTCACAGGGATGGCCAGGGACAGAGCCAGGTTTGAATCAGGGCACCTGGCTCCGGCAGCCACCGTCCCGCCAGTCATGGGGGAAAGGGATAGGGGTGTGGAGTGAAGGAGCACGTGGGACTCACGGGTATGGCACGTCGGGGCGCGGCGCCTCTCCAGGGCGAGAGCCCCAGAAGAGAAACCAAGTGCCCGCGGGTCCCTCTGCTTCACTGGCCAGTTGTCAGCACGGCGACTGGGGGGGTGCACAGGACTGCCATACCCCACTCCTGAGGACACAAGCCCCGTGGTGATGCAGTCTCAGTGCTCCGGTCACAGCCAGAGGGGACTGAGAGGGAACATGAGCTAAGCGCCCACTGCATGCCTGGAACCATGCGGGGCCCAGCCTCCCTGAATTCACACATGCCCTGGGGACAGGAGCTAATACCCCGTCTTACAGAGAGGAAACTCAGGCTCAGGGGTGCTAAGTAGCCTGACCAAGGTCACACAGTACGTGGGGCGGCAACCCTGCTCTCTGCCCATAGCCTCCCTTGGACCCAGAGGCCCCATCTCTTCCTACAACCCACTCTAGAAAGTTCTCTCTCCTTGTCACCCCCTTTGGCTGCAACACAAATACTCCAAAGCACCACCTCTGTCGTTCAGGTGGGCTGGCGCACACACATGCATGTGCTAGCGCACACGCGAGCACACGCCACCATGCATCGCCACACACGGCCCTCCCTCAGGCACTCCGGCCGCACTGCTGCAGACCCGTCACTCTCCGAGCCCACTGGCCCAGTCTTCATCCCGAGCCGCAGACAGGGAGGGGCATTCCCCGCCCCAGTTCCTCTCATTGAATAAAATATGACTCCAATGAGTCCAGACTGATCGTAAATATAATTGAATTAGAGCCACAAACCCTCGGGGAACAAGCACCCTTCCTATCTCAGGGCAGGGAGGAGCTCTCTGCCTCCCCAGGCTCCAGACCACAGCTGGAGAGGAGAGGCACTGCCCCCCCGGGGTCCCCTTGGCCACTCCCCAGCCTCCTGCCAGGCCCCCCAGTCACCCACCCCTGACCAGCACCTGAATGCACATGCCAGCTGCCAGCCCTGCTCACCAGGCCTGGGGCGGAAAGGCACCGCCAGCTAACGACGTCTGAGCACATCCAGCTGCGAAGACCTCAGAGACCTGGCCCAGCCAGACAGAGCACAGACCGAGGCCAGGGCAGTGCTCGCCCAGGGTCACACAGCAGCAGCTGGAGCAGACTCCGCTCCAGGCAAGGCTTCCCCACTGCACTGGGAGGTTTAGAACCCACGTCAGCCCTCTCACTGCTTCCCTGCAGGGCCCGCCCACTTCTGCCAGCTCCCACACCCCCACCCCAGCTCAGTGCCCCGAGGTTGCTCTAACTTCACACCTTCCCCTTCTCCCTCTGCCACCCACTCACTGAAAACGACTTGTCCCATCCCTCCCCTCGGAACACCGTCCCCACTGCAATAGAGCTGGACATCCAGCCTAGGAGTGTCCGCTAGGGCACCGTGGGCCCACGAGGCGCTATCCAGCGTGGCTAAATGCCGAGTGCCGGAAAGCAGCACGCCCCTTCCACGTCCGCTGCAGGGAAACTGACGCACAGAAGTCCACCGCAGCACGGCGTGACGCGGCAGAACACGGAAACAGCCGGAACGCTTCACAACGGAACGATGGATAACTGGTGGGACCAGCAGTTGGTGTAATGGCTATGTCGCTGGACTCCCACGTAGTCGACCGCGCTTTGGGTCCCAGACCCGGTGGCTTAAACTCACGCCAGACGTGTGTGTGTGCGCGTGCCCAAGATCTCGAAAGGAGAATGGAGGAGAAGGTTCCATATAAAAAAAACATATAAAAAAAAAAAAAAAAAAAAAGAGGAAAAAAAAATGGAGGAGAAGGGACTGCGGTGCGGCCATCCCCCCAGGGGTTGATTTCTTGCTTTCTGTCTCTCTGAAGCTCTGTCTTCCCGGTGAGCTCACGTCTTATAGCAAAAACCACTCCAAAAAAAAAAGAAAAAGAATCAGAGAAGTAAATATGGCAGCATGTACATGAATATTTGGTAAACCTGGGCCCCGGAAACTAGGCTGGACAAATGTGCAGACACAGATGACAGCAGGTGACAGGTGATGGGCACTTGGTCCTCATGCGGGACCGCCTGGCAGAGGCCACACCAGGGCGCAGCTGAGCCTCCCGTTCACCTGTGACACAGGCAAC